AATTCCAGCTCATTCTAGGACTACTCTATTTAGATCTTTGTCCTGCCAGGTGATACCAAAAATGCGTCGGAGGCAACGCATATGGAACATGTTCAGTTTTCTCTCCTGCCGTGCACAAAGGGTCCGGGACTCACTGCAGTACAGGAGTGTGCAGTAAAGATCAGCAAGATGTCTAAACAAGTCAAACTTCTCTCAGTGAACCTGAAAGGACTTAACTCACCCCAAAAAAGAAGAAAAATATTCAGCAAACTCCTCAAAACTAAGGCAGATATCATATTTATCCAGGAGACTCATATTAAAGAAAAAGATTAAAAACTGTTAGAAAACCCAAAATTGGGTTAAGTCAAGCAGACAAAAGAAAAAAGGAGTGACTTTGTATATCAAAAAAGAGTTAGATCTGGAATTGGTGTTTGCCGCTGAGGATGGGAGTTTACTGATAGTAGAAATCTCTAAGGAAGGCGAAAAAATCTTATTGGCTAACATCTATGCACCAAATGAAGCCCAAGGTAAATTTTATTCCCAACTGAAGAATCAATTAATACAACAAAAATGTGCATTATGGGAGACTTCAATGCAATAATTGACAAAGAGAAGGACACATTTAAGAAAACTGAAAATGGGATGAAAAAGACGAGGAATATGATACCTAAGGTGTTCCTTCCAACAGCAGAAGAATTAAACCTAATTGACCTATGGAGACTCAGAAACCCGAACAGAAGAGACTATACATTTTACTCAAATAGACATAAATCATGGTCAAGAATAGATAATTGTTGGATATCAGCGGAAGCTACACATCAAGTAGAGGACATTGAAATATTACCAAATACATATGCAGACCATAATTTAATATTGATGACATTAGGGCAGAGGATAAGGAGTGGCTTTTGGAGACTTAACATGCAATTATTGAGAGAAGCGAACTTTTTGAATAAAATTAAAAATGAGATGAATTTTTTTTTCAAATCAATAAACTTGGAGATGCTGATGAATTTTGGTAATATGGCAGGAATGAAAATAAACCAAAAGAAAACAAAAATACTTGTTAAAATATGAGAGATCAAGAACGACAGAAATTAATAGAAAGAACTAACTTTCAAGAAGAGAAGAGAGTCAGATATTTAGGGATCCAAATCACAAAGAAAAAAGCAAAAGCAAAGTGCGTTGCTTGTATACCGCCCCATAGCGCTTCAAGCACTCTCTGGGCGGTTTACAAGTTAATTATGCAGGGTACACATTGCCCCCCTCCCCCAGCAAGCTGGGCACTCATTTTACTGACCTTGGAAGGATAGAAGGCTGAGTCAACCTTGAGCCGGCTACCTGGGATTGACCCCAGGTCGTGAGCACAGTTTTGGCTGCAGTACAGCAGTTTAACCACTGTGCCACGAGGCACAGTGGTTAAACTGTTGTACGTAATTCAAAGACAATTATATGAAGTTGATTAAGGAGATTAAGAATAGCTTGGAGAGATGGGATAAATTACAGCTATTGTTGATGGGAAGAATAGCAACCACCAAAATGAATGTTCTACCTAAAATTTTATTTTTATTTCAGACAATTCCCATAATATTAAAACAGTCATTTTTTTTCAAGAACTTAATAAGATAATCATGAGATTTGTGTGGCAAGGTAAAAAAACCAAGAATTAAAATCAAAGCAATGCAAGATGCCAAACAAAGAGCAGGTTTTGGTCTCCCAGATTGGGTATAGTATTATAGAGCCTGTGTATTAGTCTGGATAAAGGAATGGATAACTTTTGATAATGATAGATTTTTCAAGTTGGAAGGAAATGATTTACAGTTAGGTCGACATGCTTTTCTATGGTACAAAAAAGATAAAGAGCAGAAACGTTTTAACTTGCATATGATAAGAATAACCCTACTAGGGACTTGGAAAATGATCATCCAGCAGATTTAACAAAAAACACCAGGCTGGGTATCACCCATAGAGGCCTTTACACAACCTAACCTCATGACAGAAGTGAAACTTTCAAAATATGAAGATCTATTTAAAAATGATTGTGAGTTAAGGTCCAAAGAAGAGTTAGAAACACAAAGTATATATCTAGACTGGTTGTCCAAAGCAGAAGTGGAATCTAGGTATAGAAAAGATAAAACAGAGGGCTTTTACACAGAACAAATGATATTTGATAAACTTCTGCTGGGCTCAAATGATAAAGTAATTAAGAAAATGTATGATTATTTGCTTGAAACTAAAATGCAAGATGAGATGGTAAAAGAATGTATGGTTAGGTGGGCACAAGATATAGGACATAATATTGATATTGATCAATGGTTGCAAATATGGAAAAATAGTACTAAAGTACTAATAGTAATAAAGCTCACAAAATTGGTAAA